ACCCTAAACCCTAAACCCTAAACCCTACTTACACAGGTGCAGCTGGACTCGAAGGCGCGTCGGGAATCGCTGCAGCGGAGTTGTGCTGGCGCCCTGAACCACGGCGTCTGAAAGGTTGGGAGGGTTTAGGGTTTAGGGTTTAGGGTCTAGGGTCTAGGGTCTAGGGTTTAGGGTTGGGGAAGTTCCGGGTGGAGCCTATGCCACAAACAGCCCTTAGAACCCTAAGACCCCTGATTCTCCTAAACCCTAAACCCTCAACCTCCTTATATCCCCAAACCCCGATCAACCCCCCGCACTCTTCCCATCCTCCGCGCAGGTGACGCTGATCGACTCCCCTGGGGTCGTTTTTGAGGGCGATTCGGAGGATCCCTCCGTCGCCAGGAGCCCCAAGAGGAGAGAATATTCAGGGTTCAAAAGGATTTGTAGGGTTGTGTGTGTGTGTGTGTGTGTGTCTTTGTGGGATCCTAAACCTTAAACCCTGAACCCTAAACCCTCTACACCCTAAACCCTAAAGTCAGGCTTCGGCTGAGACTTTTTCTCCCGTAGGTGCTGGGTCTTGGTGTTTGTACCTGAGGAGCGTCCTCATCCATCCTGCATTCGCAAAAACCCCCAAAACTATGGACCCTTAAGGGTTTCGAGGGTTTAGGGTTTGGGGATTAGGGTTTATAGGGTTTAGGGCCCCGAAACCCACCGCTAGCAAGAGGATGGTCTAAACCCCAAACCACCCCCAAGCCCTAAAGCCCACCTGTGACCTCCAAACCCTACAAATTAGTATGGCGGTTTGCGACAAAAAAGGACGCCTGAAATAGACCCCAAGATAGGGACCCCAAATCGGTACCCCTAATTTGGGAAACCACTAAACCCTAAAGCCTAAACCCTAAACCCTAAACCCACACCGGCCCACTGCCCGCTCACTGCCAGTAACAGGTGCTGCGGAATGTGGTGCGGGCAGGGCGGCCCAGTCTACCAAATCATGACAACAGGGTTTAGGGTTTAGGGTTTAGGGTTTAGGGAACGGAGCCATCCATAATATAAGGGACCCGCGGAATGATGCAGGTTATCTAGGGTAGTAGGAATAAGGGTTCCTTCTACATCCTCGCAACTTCAGAGAGTTCAGGGTTGAGCGTTCATTTCCGTCAGAATTGGCGAGTCGTGTGACTCATAATCCCTTGCCTTAAGCCCGAAACCCACCCCCTAGCTAGTACAACGTACACAAGCACGGGGATGCTGTTGAATTAGGAGGGTTAGTTTACACGTGTTCCCGATTTCCATTGCAACACGAATGCGCTGCAATCCCAAGCCCTAAGCCCTATCGACCCTAATCCTGAACCTTGAGTATTCGTTAGCAGGCCTCCTATCGGGCATGTAAGGAGAAAGCCCGAATTCCTTGAGAGGATTTGGAGTGTTTGAGGAGAGCTGCTTCACTCGAAACCCCACATCCTCCCAGGATCCCAAAAGGTTGAAACCCCCTAGATTCTCTTGGCCCCATGATCTTGAAACCCAACACTCAAGCCCGAAACTCTTAACCAGCCCCGAAACCCCTCAAACCCTCCTAGAATCCTAGAGCCCCGCTGCCAGCTAGATTCCCAACATCCGACCCTAGACCCTAGACCCTAGAAGCCCTAAACCCTATAAACCCTAAACCCTAGAAACCTTAGACCCTTTAAACTCCAAACCCTTTTTAACCCTAAGGCCTAAACCCTAGAAACCCGAGACCCTAGAACCCTAAACCCCAGAAACCCGAAACCCTATATAAACCCTAAACCCTAGAATCCTTAAACCCTTAAAACCCCAAACCCTTTCGAACCCTAAGCCCTACACCCTAAACCCTAGAAACCGTAAACCCTAGAAACCCTAAACCCTAGAAACCTTAAACCCTTTCTAACCTAAGCCCTACACCCTAAACCCTGGACCCTAGAACCCCTAAACCCTAAACCCTAAACCCTTTCTAACCCTAAGCCCTACAACCCAAACCCTAAACCCTAGACCCTAGAACCCCTAAACCCTAAACCCTAAACCCTAAACCCTAAACTCTAGAAACCCTAAACCCTAACCTAGAAACCCTAGAAACCCTAGAAACCCTAGAAACCCTAGAAACCCTAGAAACCCTAGAAACCCTAGAAACCCTAGAAACCCTAGAAACCCTAAACCCTAAACTCTAGAAACCCTAAACCCTAAACCCTGGTAACCCTAGAAAACCTAAACTCTAAACTCTAGAACCCCAAACCCTAAACCCTAAACCCTAAACTCTAGAAACCCTAAACCCTAACCCTAGAAACCCTAAACCCTAAACCCTAAACTCTAGAAACCCTATACCCCAAACCCTAGAAACCCTGGTAGCCCTGGAAACCCTGGAAACCCTTTCGGGGGCCTCCCTAAACTCTAGAAACCCTAAACCCTAAACCCCTAAGCCCTAAACCCTTTCGGGGGCCTCGGGAGGTAGAGTCGATCTCCGACCCGGTGGCCGTTGTCGAGGCTTTGGCTGTCAAGGCTCCGCGTCAGGCCGGCTTTCTTCTCTCTTTTTGTGGCTTAGGGTTTAGGGTTTAGGGTTTAGGGTTTAGGGTTCAGGGTTTAGGGTTTAGGGTTCTCTGTTCTTTTTTGTTGAGGGGGGGGGGGGAGGGGGGGATTGGGGGGTTGGGGTTTAGGGTTGGGTTGGGTGGTGGGTTTGGGTGGTTTGGGGTTTGTGGTTCAGGGTTCAGGGTTAATGGTTTAGGGCCGCGGTGGTGACTTTAGACTTTACTATATTATATGACTTCTTTGTCATGTCAAGGCCAAGGGGAAGAATGACACATTGATGTTTACCTGTGACTTTTTGGGTTTGTAGTATATAGGGCTAAACCCTAAATGCAAAGAGACAGGAAGTCCAACGCCCACTATGCACATGCCATCCTCCCAAACCTCCACCCTGAGCCCTCTAAACCCTAAACCCTAAACCCTAAACCCTAAACCCTAAACCCTAAACCCTAAACCCGGCGGTTTCAGATCTCGGCCCCCAGAATGACCCGCAAGAAGCTGCCGAAGCGATGCCTCCGAACCTTGGGGACCACATGAACCCTAAAACTGGGGCCATAGACCCCATACTGCCATAAACTCCTAGTTATGAAGGTATATGAACCATAAACCCCCTAAACCCTAAACCCTAAACCCTAAACCCTTTTAGGGTTCGGTTCTTTTAGTCCCCAAGAATGAAACCCTAAACCCTTTCGAAGAACACAAACATCGAAGGCTCGAAGCCCTAATGCCCCCCCCGCCATTGGGGGTTTTAGGGTTTAGGGTTTAGGGTTTAGGGTTTAGGGTTTAGGGTTTAGGGTTGAGTCAAGAACTCTAAGCCCTGAAGCCCTTTCCTTGCATGCCAGGGCTGTGAGGCTATAGGTACCAGGGGGCTTTCAAGGATCAAGAAGTGCAGTATCACGGGTCCTAAACCCTAAACCCTAAACCCTAAACCCTAAACCCCGAAAAAGGTGCAACCCTAAATCCCTGACCCTTCCTCGGACGCGCCACTCTTCCGGCCCCCCAGCGAAGTTTCACACAGACGTCAGTCAGCCCCCCCGCTGACAGCGGTTGAGCCACGCAGGGGGCTTTATAGGGTTCAGGGGTTTAGGGTTTAGGGTTCAGGGCAAGGGTTTAGGGTTGCGCGAAATTGTTTAAGGCATCGTGCGGTTCTCAGACCTAGCTGCAGGTATACGGGGCCTAAGCCCTAAACCCTGCAAACCCTGACAGCCTCTTGAAAACGTGTTCTGGGGCCTGGGCCCAGAATTCTAGAAACCGTCGGTTCAGGGTTGCTAGGGGGTTCAGCGCGAGCAAAAGCCACCCCCAACCCTAGAAACCAAAAACTCTCCAAGCCACATCCTAAACCCTAAACCCTAAACCCTAAACCCTAAACCCTAAACCCTAAACCCTAAACCCTAAACCCTAAACCCTAAACCCTAAACCCTAAACCCCAAGCCACCTCAGACTTAGTACTTTCCGCGGTGCTGTTGCATGGTTGCGCGCGCCTCGTCTCATCGACTCCGGCCTGCCCAGGTGCCCGGTCGAGTGTATTTCTTTTGAGTACTATTGAATCTATACGATAAGAAAACAATTCACATAAGCATAAAGATGTCAACAGATACATAAATATATGTATGTATGTTTGTTTTTCTTATGTGTGTATATATATATATGAACAAATAGATAGATCAAACACACGTAAACATATTATCTATATATATATATATATCAAGGTTGAAGGGGCAAAAGGGTAGTAGGGTTTAAAAAAGGGTCCGGGGGGGGAGGGGTTGCGTTTTGGGGTCTGGGTTTCAGTTTGCAGGGCTTCCCGGCGGTGGGATTCAGGGCTGTGGAGGTTGATTCCGAGATGCAACACCTGCTCTTTCTGCCTGTTCCAGGGCACCTCCCTGACCACATCCGGAGACCCCAAAAGCCTGTAGTTTGAGTTCTAGGGTTTAGGGTTTAGGGTTCAGGGTTTAGGGTTTAGGGTTTAGGGTTTAGGGTTCAGGGTTCAGGGTTTAGGGTTTAGGGTTTAGGGTTTAGGTTTTAGAGGGCTCAGGGTGGAGGTTTGGGACGACGGCATGTGCATAGTGGACGTTGGGCTTCCTGTCTCTTTGCTGCCGCCTGCGGCTCGATGCCAACCCTGCTTGGGATTTAGGGTTGGGGTTAGGGTTTAGGGTTTAGGGTTTAGGGTTTAGGGTTTAGGAGAGAGAAGTCAGGCACCCCCCCCCTCAACCATGGGCTCTACAGCTCTGGAATTGGAGGAACCCTCCCTAAAGACCTGTACATCATGGCCCCACAGACCCCAAAGCTCTACAAACCCAATCTCGACATACCCCAAAACCGCAGGAAACCCGACACCCTACACCCTAAACCCTCTGACGCCCTACACCCTAAACCTAAGAAGTCCTACAACTTCCCCCCCCCCACCCCCCCCCCACGCCCTCCCGCACCCTAAACCCTAAACCCTAAAACCTTGACCCTTAATCCTTTGAGTACGTCCGCTGCCAGGCATGGGCCAAGGCACTCAGCGGCCCGAGGCCGCGCTTGCAAGGGTTTCGGGGTATAGGGTTTGGGGTTGAGGGTTTAGGGTTTAGGGTTGACCCTTTAGCTGCTTCTCTTTCTACAAACTGCAATAAGTGTCAAAAGGGGAGGGATGCAGGTGAAACCCTAAAACCTAAACCCCGTGGCTGTACTGTCAAGAGTTCAGGGTGCTTGGGGGGGTGGGAGGCCTTGCCCAAAGGCTCGCAGAACCCCCCAAAAACAGCCGCAATCTTGAAGCCCGCCACACCCAAGTCTCCCTAAAAGGGTGCGAAGGCCTCTTGCAGACATTGCTTTGGGGAATGCCCCCGGTTGATGATTCGTGTTGGTCTTTCGGGTCATTTAGCCCTAGCACGCTTGGATGCATCGCCAGGCCCGCTTCGAAGTCCTCTATAGTCCGAGACCTACATCCCGTCGTCCCCGCAACTAGAATGTTGCGTCATAGGTAAGGCAGGCGATTGCAATTTCCCATCTATGCCGCAGACGTCGCCATCCAACCCGACAGCAACTTCCTCCATCGACGTCATGCCTACAAGCGGAAGCCTTAGATGGATTGCCCTGCTTGGGTGGGTTTAGGATGTAGGGTTTAGGGTTTGGGGGTTAGGGCTTAGGGTTTAGGGTTTGGGGGTCAGGGCTTAGGGTTTAGGGCTTGGGGTTCAGGGTTTAGGGTTAGGGCTTGTGTGGGTTCGGGAAGACGGGGTCTTATCCAGCCAGAATGATTTTAGGACCAGGCCAGTCGCCTACTCAGGCCTTCTCCAAATTTAGCCACCCTAAACTCTAAACCCCAAACCCGAAACCCTACACCCTGAACCCCAAACCCTATACATCCTATAAGCCCTACATACCCTAACCCCAAACCCCAAACCCTAAACCCTGAACCCTAAATCAGCTCTTGGAACCTCAGACTCTTCCTTGTGTTCTGCTTGCCTCTGACGGTGCCACACGTGACCGTTAGACGTGCCTGTGCCTCACGGCTGTGTAGGGTAGGTTTAGGGTTTGGGGCTTGGGGTTTGGGGTTTGAGTTTTGGGGTTTGGGGTTTGGGGTCTCGGGTCTAGGGTTTAGGGTTTAGGGGTTGTTATTTCGCAGCTCCACACGTGAGTCTGCTCTTGCACATCAGAACTCGTGCTACTGTTAAGGTGGCTCCGAGAATGGGTTTCAGTCTGGAGTCTGGAGTGATATTCGCTGTCAGAGAGATGGCGTCAAAGTTGGGTTCTTGTATATACACGAGTTCACTTCCAGTCGAGAGTGTGTAATAAACCTTAAATTGAATATATGCCACTGTATAATAATATATTAGCTGCATGTAGAGGATTGTCAAGCCAAGTGTAGTAAATACCCCAAAACCGACCAACTTCAACCCTGAAGACCGAAGAAAAGCTGCAACCCTCAACCCTACATCCCTAAACCTATAAACCCCAAAACCCTAACACCTAAATCCTAAACCCTAAACCCTAGCCCTAAACCCTGAACCCCTAAACCCTGAACCCTTAAAGCCCTAAACCTCCGCGCCTTCTCTTGAGCCCGAGCCCAGGCGAGACGCAGGAGAGCGAGGTGGGGGGGTTTAGGGTTTAGGGGTTAGGGTCTAGGGCTTTTGGGGTTTAGGGGTTTTAGGGTTCAGAGGTTTTGGTGTTGTAGGGTTTTGGGTTTTGGGTTTTGGGTTTAGGGTTTAGGGTTTAGGTTTATTGTTTAGCCACACACACACAGGGTCTTCGAGCCTTCCGGTGCAGGGTCTCCGGGTTTCGGATTGAAAGGTTGACTACAGGGCTGAAGCAACTGGAGGTGGAATCTTGAGGCAATATAGATATGTATATGTATATATATATATGCATATATGTATTCATGTACATATGTATATATGTACATATGTATATATGTATATGTGTATATGTGTATATATGTATATATGTATATATGTATAGATGTATATATGTATATATGTATATATGTATATATGTATATATGTATATATGTATATATGTATATATGTATATATGTATATATGTATATATGTATATATGTAGATATGTATATATGTATATATGTATATATGTATATATGTATATATGTATATATGTATATATGTATATATGTATATATGTATATATGTATATATGTACATGTATATATACAGACACATATGCATACATATGTATACACACACACATATATATATATATATATACATGTTCGTTCTGTATTATTGTTATTCGTATTATGTTAATAGTATTTGTTGAGCAAAAAGGGGGCAGAGAGGGGGGGCGAGGAAGTCTTCGGCTCCTGTGGGTAGGGGTCTTGGATGAAGCTTTTGGTGTAGGGGGCCTTGGGCTCCGAACCCGAGCCAGGAAACCCAGAAGCCCTAAACTCCTAAAACCCCTAACCCTCAACCCTAAACCCTCAACCCTAGACCCTAAACCCTAAACCCTGAACCCTAAACCCTAAACCCTAAACCCTAAACCCTGAACCCTGAACCCTAAACCCTAAACCCTAAACCCACCCACAAACCCTTGTGAAAGCATGCATGCGTGACATCAAGGGAGACGTTAGGAAGCCTCCAGGGCTTTGGGGCCCAGGGCTTCTAGGGTTCAGCGGTTTAGGGTTTAGGGTTTGGGGTTTAGGGTTTAGGTTTAGGGAAGTTTAGGGTTTAGGGCTAGGGCTTTGTGCTTTGTGCTTAGAGCTTCGGGCTTAGGGCAACGGGCCTCGACCTTACGGTCGAACCCGCCAAGTCAGGTCCCCCAGGACGACACGCCGCGGGCCCAGGAGCAAGTGAAGCCCTTCACTCGACTGGCACCACCCCCCCAAGCCCCCCACCCCCCTCCAAAGAAAAACAAAAAAACTAAGATACAGGAGTAGATATATGTAATTGTATGTATATGTATGTATATATATACAATATATAATTACGTATAGTTATACATATATATATATATATAGTTAGAGTGAAGAATCGAAAGGATGAGAATATTATAGTCACAAACTTAAGACCCCGCAGCCCACACTCTTGAACCCCTGAACCCTGGACCCTACATGACCCTTAAGCCCCGCGCGACCTTCCACCTAAACCCTAAACCCTAAACCCTAAACCCTAAACCCTAAACCCTAAACCCTAAACCCTAAACCCTAGACCCTTCCACCTGCCGGGCTTTCCAGCAACATCTCCCGAGCTGAGCCTACGCCCACCAGCCCTCAGACCTGATGGGTTCGGGTGGTTCAGGGTCTCTAGGGGTTTTTGTGTGTAGGGTTTGGGGTTTGGGGTTTGGGGTTTAGGGTTTAGGGTTTAGGGTTTAGGGTTTGGGGTTTGGGGTTTGGGGTTTAGGGTTTAGGGTTTAGGGTTTAGGCAAAGGGCTCAGCTCAGCTCCTAGCTTTGGCGGGGGGCTTTTCAGTCCATCCCCACGAAGCTGTAGTTAGAAGAGCCCCTGCAACCCTCACCCAATACTCAACCCGGGGTCATGGTTCATGGTTCCACCCCAAACACTAGACCCTAGACCCTGAATCCTAAACCCTAGACTGAACCCTGAACCCTACACCATACACCCTGAACCCTAAAGCCTAAACCCTAAACCTTAAACCCTAACCCTAGACCCTAGACCCGAGACCCTGAACCGTAGACCCTAAACCCTAGACCCTGAACCTTGAACCTTGAACCCTGGACCCTGAGCTTCAGCTCACGGTGGCTAAGGACTCCTGCAGCAAGTAGCCGTGCGGGAGAAGGCTCCCTCACATGCGCGTCTAAGGCCGAAGAAGCCCTAAACCCTAAACCCTAAACCCTAGCCCCAAAGCCCTCCAAACATCCCAGAAGGCTTTGCAAATTAGGGAGATTCGGGTGTGGGTTTAACCCTAAGCCTCGGGTTAGGGTTTGGAGCTTAAGGATGTTTAAGGCTTGGGAATTCCTACACCCGTCATCCTAAGCCAGGTGCCTAAACCCTAAATCCTAAACCCTAAAAACCCTGGAGCCTTATAAACCCTACGATCTAAGAGTAATTCAACAAACCCCAAACCCATACACCTTGACCTATGAAGGAAGAATATATGGAACATGTATATATATATATATGTATATATATATATAGATTTATTTATTTATTTATGGAATGATTTTACCATACCCCTGCATTCCTTTCAAGGGTATGCCCACGGGGCTATGTTGAGTTTTCTTAGATACAACCCTTATAATCCTGAGACCTTGCAACCCGAAAGCCCTAAACCCGAAAGCCCTAAACCTAAACCCTAAACCCTAAACCCTAAACCCTAAACCCTTTTCATGCCAGGTGTCAAGCCTTCCATCGAAGCCGGAGTGCCTGAACCCCGTTTCACTGGGCTTGCGGCCTTTGGCGTTTTTGGGTTTACGGCTTAAGGGGTTTAGGGTTTGGGGTTTGGGTTTGGGGTTTGGGGTTTAGGGTTTAGGGTTTGAAAGGTTGAAATTTGGGGTTTAGGGTTGAGGGCTTCGGGGGCTTTGAGATCTTAAGGGGCTTTCAGGGTTTTTGGGGTGTAGGGCTTAGGGCTTAGAGTGCCGGCAGGGTTTGGAGGTAGTCTAAGGGGTTTCGGCGAGACGGTTTCGGTGTTTAGGGGTTCGGGGGGATGTGAGGTCTTTCTTCGGTTCGGGGCAAAATCTACCCAAATCCGGAATCCTGGGTTTAGGGTTTGGGGGTTTTGGGTTTAGGGCTATGTTTTAGGGTGCATGTGCTTCTGTCACGAGTATTTGAGCGAAGATCACTCAACAAATGTTCAGAATACATAGTCGGGATGGCAAGAGATAAGCCCCAAGAAGCCTTACCCTAAGGAAAACCCTACATTCAGAGAATCCATACCCTTGCGGAAGCCTGCCTAAACCCTAAGCCCTTAGCCCCTAGACCTGAGCTCTAAGCCTTAATCCCCAAACCACAAACCCCCTCCCCCCCAAAAAAAGAAAAAACACAGATAATAAGAAGCAACACACTACACAATCAGTAAATGAAAAATAAAGAACTCGTGGATGCGTCAGAGGTCCTCGAGAGCCTCGTGCGACAGTCCGCCAGGCCTTCTGAGAAGCTTGCGTCGAATTCGCCGAGGGAACAAATATTGTAAGGGTTTAGGGTTTAGGGTTTAGGGTTTAGGGAATTATCAGGGTTTAAGTTGGGACTTCCCCCCCCTATACTTTTAAGGGCTGTTACTATATGAGGTTTATGAAACGTCGTCCCTTCAGAGCGTACCGATCTTCTGCTGGGAAGTGTTTAGTTTGCAATGGGTGGGGGAAGGGTATTCAGGGTGCGGATAAGAATGTGGCAATTCAGTTCACGCTCACGTTTCCCTTCCACAAAGCCCTATGCTGGTCATGATCTAGCTAGGCCGTCGGTACTTTTTTGTGTTTTTCGTTTTTCGGGTTCATGAGGCTCATATTCAAGAGTCTAGAATATTCTTTAGAGGGCTTGACGGGCCTTCCTGGTATGCCTGCCAACATGAAAAGGTGCCTTTTGTGCCGAGCCCTGGTGTTGGTCTGCTGTTAGACCGAGCAAGCTTTAAGCCCCCTAACCCTAAGCCATACCTGGGGCTCCATTTACCTACGATTTCGGAGAGTCGTACCCTACATTGATGGGAAATGCTCTACTAATTTGTAGGGTTTGGGAGTCACAGGTAAGCCTAAATCCCTACACCAAGCCAGCCTTAAAGTCCCCTCCGCGCCCCCCTCGCCACAAGACACAGAAGAAAGACAATCGAGAGGCGCCCTTGCTGTAGGGCAAGGTGCTTCGCCGGGGCCTCAGTCACCCTAAACCCTAAACCCTAAACCCTAAACCCTAAACCCTAAACCCTAAACCCTAAACCCTAAACCCTAAACCCTAAACCGGGAGGATCAGGTTTCGGATGGCCTAAGGTGTTGCAGTGTTGGGGTCCAAGGTTCGAGGTTGAGGGGCTGAGGGATTCAGGATTAGGGTATAATTCGGGTTGTTTAGAGGTTACAGAGGTTCAGAGGTTCAGAGTTTCAGAGGTTCAGAGGTTTGGAGGTTTGGAGGTTTAAAACCCAAAACGCTAAACCATAAACCATAAACCCCTAAACCCTAAACCCATTCAGGGTTTAGGGTTTAGGGTTAATTATGACATGATGGCATCTCGAGTGCCACCCAAAAATCGCGCTTGGAAGTTTGCGGAAGGGTTTGGGGTTTAGGGTTTAGGAGTTTAGGAGTTTAGGAGTTTAGGAGTTTAGGAGTTTAGGAGTTTAGGAGTTTAGGAGTTTAGGAGTTTAGGAGTTTAGGAGTTTAGGAGTTTAGGAGTTTAGGAGTTTAGGAGTTTAATTAGGGGCTTAGGGGTTCAGGGGTTCGGGTTTAGGGGCCCTAAACTTGAGCCCGGCTCTTGAGAATTGGGAAAAGAGTCCCCGCCACCCTAAGCCCTGATTAAGTATAAAAAACCTGGCCGGTATTAGGCGTACCTTATGGGTCCTTGTTGAAGGGGATCCTTTTATTTGGGGGCTATATTCGGGGTCCCTTCTTTTGCGTAAGCCCCCATATGGGTGGTTGTCAAAATTATGGTCCCTTTTTGGATCACCATTATAATGCGGCACCTAATATTTAGGGTACCCCAGAAGGGGTCATAATTTTGACAGCCACCCATATAAGGGTTATGGAACAAGGGAGGGACCCAAGATAAGAGCCCATGCTTAAACCCCTGAAGCCTTAGGACATTTTCGGGTGCAAGGCTTGGGGTGTAGGGCTTAGGGTTTAACCTCCTTTAACCCCTCTACCCCCCCCCCCCCCCCCCCCCAAAAAAAAAAAAAAAAAAAAAAAAAACACACACACACACACATACACACAGGTCCTCTTCCTCGTCATGTTGGTCTGGAGGCCTCGGACTACACTTCAGAGCATAAACTGCCGGATTCCGAAAACGGGTCGAGTTCAGCAGTGGGGGTGTGGGGAACCTTGAATCAACCCTCGAACATTATAGGGGTTTAACAGTTTAGAGTTTTTTGAGTTTAGGGACTTCGGGGTGTGGGGTTTACCCTAAACCCTAAACCCTAAACCCTAGACCCTAGACCCTAGACCCTAAACCCTAGACCCTAAACCCCAAACCCTCCATCATTTCGCCTGACACCACCAGAGCACTGGGAGGAGGCGCAGCATCCTCTTCGGCGGACCCTTTTGCCGGGAGCCCCGGTTGGGTTTAGGGTTTAGGGTTTAGGGTTTAGAGTTTAGGATTTAGGTTTAGTAGGGTGTAGGGTGTATAGCTTATCATGGATGTAATCTACGGGTTCGATCAATACCGATAGATTTCCGATTGCTACTCGATAAAGTATTGGTAGTATTGATGATCACGGTTCGGTTCGATACTCGATTACTACCGGGAAATGACAGTGATCGATAGAGACGTGCTATAAGTTATAGGGTTTGTAGGGTTATAGGGTTTGTAGGGTTATAGGGTTTATAGGGTCTATAGTGTTTATAGGGTTCATAGGGTTGACGGGGTTTATAGAGTTGAGAGGGTTTATAGGGTGTATAGGGTTTATAGGGTTTAGAGGGTTTAGAGGGTTTATCGGGTTTGTAGGGTTTATAGGGTTTGTAGGGTTTAGGGTTTTGGCAGGGTCATTTGGTGAGTTGGTGGAGGCTAAGTTTTCTTCTATTTTAAGGCGGTGGGGGGGGGGGGGGGCGGAGATTTTGAGGCTACAAAGGTGGTCGGTTGCAGCCCGTAACCGCAACCCCTAAGCCCTAAGTTGTTTCGGGTGCAAGGCTTCTGGGGTTTATAGACGACTTGCGCTCGGAGTTCACAGTAGGACACACCGGGAGGCTTGCCCGCAAGCCTCGCCTGTTGCAGTCAGACCCCATAAAATCTAAATCCTCGGCCGTGAACCCGAATTGAGCCTCATCAGCACCCGAAAGCCGAAACCCTAAACGCAAAACCCTAAACTCAAAACCCTAAACCCTAAACCCTAAACCCTATACCCTATACCCTATACCCTATACACTATACACTATACCCTATCCCAGCCCTGGATGAGGTCACCGACCTGCACGCCTTCCATGGCTGCGTGAAGCTGGAAGCTTTGCCAGCGCAAAGCCCAGCCTCTCGAGACCATTCTTGCAATTCTTAGGGGGGGGGGGGGTAGTGTTTAGGATTTAGGGTTTAGGGTTTAGGGTTTAGGGAGGGTTTAGGGTTTGGGGCTTTATCTTGGTAGCCCAGTGGTACCCTTTTGCATTTGTTTGGTTCTTGGTTCCCTTATGAAGTAGCCAACCCCAAAGAAGGGTATCTCTTCTTATAAGATGGTTATTGGGCTACCAAGAATTGGGGGGGCTCTCACGAAAAACAATGGGCCCCCAAAATAGATCTCCAAATCGTAGGATCCCCTTAAATGAGGACCCCAATAAGGTACCCCCCGAAGCCCCCCAGTTGGTTTTGGGGTTTAGAGTTGCTTCCTTCTATTTTTGCGGGTTCTGGACGTCGGGGCCATTGTTCAGGGTTTCCAGAGCGTCTCCAGGTAACCTTGTGGCTCCTAGGAGACCAAGCTGGCTGCCCTAAACCCCTAGACCCCTAAACCCCTAAACCCCTAAACCCCTAAACCCCTAAACCCCTAAACCCCTAAACCCCTAAACCCCTAAACCCCTAAACCCAAACAACCCTTCCCCGCCCCCCATGCAAAGCACTCTACACCCCTCCCCGCTGCCCCGCCCAAAGCTCCGAAACCCTAATCCAACCACGATGAGAAGCATGTGAAGAATAAGAACCATCACTTTGTGGTGCTTCACTGTAACTTTAGATCCTTAGCCTTTTTTGGTTTCATTGGGTTTCTTAATAAGGCAGCTAAAATTTTAATTTTTAGCTACCCTCCTAAGTGCAGCCAAGATCATTACCATCATGATTATCATACCAAGCTGATTCGTCAACAATGTAGTGGACCAAGGGATAGCCACACCCAGGCGGGGCAGTTTACAAAAGTCAAAGGCTGGAAGAAGCGTGGGGCCTCGGTGGGAAGGGTTTGGGGCCGCTAGGGTGCTTGAGGATGAGTGGGTTCAGGGATTTGGGCTCAGGGTTTGGGGGGTTTAGGATCCCTGGGTCTCATTGTCAGATTTTGGATCTCGGACTTGGTGGTGTTCTTGGTGTTTAGCGACGACAGAAGGGGGAGGGGGGAGGGAGGGGGGAGGGGAGGGGAAGGGGGGTGTTCTAGGTTTAGGGTACGCCCTGATATATATATATATATATATATATATGACCCTTTCAAGCCAGAAGAATTGACTCCCCAGCCCAAACCCTGCACCTTTTCTGACGTTGCCAACCCCTAAAACGTAAACCCCAAGCCCCAAGCCCCAAACCCCAAACCCTAAACCCTAAACTCTCAACCCTACACCCTAAACCCTAAACCGCAAACCCCAGGAATTCCATCTTCGGCAAGATCCTCCGCTACGACTGGAACAAGCCTGGCGAGGCTGAGGTGTCACCTTTTTGGGCATCTGTAGGGTTTAGGGTTTAGGGTTTAGGGTTTAGGGTTTAGGGTTTAGGGTTTAGGGTTTAGGGTGGATAAAATCACTGCCTGCGTCACTGCTCATGAGGGGCGGCACAAAATCGATAAAGACATGGGCCAGCACCATCACTACCTTATGAAGCGCCCCGTACATTGCGGCTGTCCTTTTTGAAGCACTCCCCTCTTCCCTCTCCCCCCCCCCCCCCCAAATCTCGTGCACCTCAGAACGCCCTACAAGGCCAAGAATTCCTCCCAAGAGCTCCAACACCCTTGAATAACCCCTAGCCCCCTGACTTCCCCCAACCTTAAACCCTAAACCCTATCACCCTATATTCGGTCGCTTCCTTAAAATTCTGGACCCTTGTGGGGTCCTTATGACAAAAACTTAGAGAACTGACCCTATCCCTGAACCCTAAACCCTAAACCTTTAACCCTAATCCTCAACCCTAAACCCTAAACTCTAATCCCTAAACCCTAAACCCTATAAACCCTAAACTTTATGGAAGCGGGTCGCACCTGCAGGTGCGCACCGTGGTCAAGGACATGGCCCTGCAGCTGGTGGATAGTTGCCGCAGGCGTTTTGTTTTTCGATTCGGGGTTTAGGGTTTAGGGTTTAGGGTTTATAGGGTTTTATAGGGTTTATGGGTTTATAGGGTTTATAGGGTTTATAGGGTTTATAGGGTTTCTAGGGTTTCTAGGGTTTCTAGGGTTTCTAGGGTGTCTAGGGTTTCTAGGGTTTCTAGGGTTTCTAGGGTTTATAGGGCTTAAAGGGTTTATAGGGTTGCGGGTTTAGGGTTTAGGGTCCCAAGATTGCGCAGAGTGTAGGGTTTACCGGAGGAAGCATATACCTCAAGAAGGGTACATAGACCCAGCACTTGTGGGTACATGTCCCGGTAACATGGCTGGTTTAGCGTTAATTAGGAAGGGGTCAGTGGAAGGTTTAGGGTTTACGTGTGACTCCCAGAACGCAAATTCGTAGGTTTTCACCCCCTCAATGTAGGGTAAAACACCCCCCAAAAAATAGGTAGAGGGAACCCCAGGTAGTGCTTAGGACTTAGTGAACTACAATGTCTTCATCAGTCCGATACCTATTGGGGCTCGGGGCTCTGCCCCCCCCCCCCCCCAAACGCACAAAACGTGCCAACCAGTGTCACAACGTCAGAACGCTTTGTCAGAAGAGACGGCTCGACCCTATACCGTAAATTCAACCCCAAACCTTAAGCCCTAAAACCCTAAACCCTAAACCCTAAACCCTTAAACCCTAAACCCTAGACCCTAGACCCTAGACCCTCAACCCTCAACCCTCAACCCTCAACCCTCAACCCTCAACCCTCAACCCTCAACCCTCAACCCTCAACCCTCAACCCTCAACCCCCAACCCCCAACCCCCAACCCTCAACCCTCAACCCTCAACCCTCAACCCTCAACCCTCAACCAACCCAAGCCGCCGTCCCAGCACTCTCAGGTACACCCGAAACGATCGCGATGCCTGGAGCCACAGAGTGGACTCGCCTGAGGACAGAGCCCTCCCACCCCGCCCTACACCCTGTAAATTCTATAATGTCGCTTAGGTTGCAGGGTTTAGGGTTTAGGGTTTAGGTTGAGGGTTCTAGTTATTCAGGCACCTATATTACGCCTGACGGCCCTAGAAACCCCATAGTGGGCCCCATAGTCCCTTGCCCCCGAGCATTAAACCCCCCCCCCCCCCCCCAGGCCCTACCCCCTAATATTCAATACCCACCATTGTAGTTATGTTAGAGTATATGGAGGGGGATTTAAATATTAGGGGGAGGGGGGGGGGGGTGTGGAGTCAAGCCTACGATACTAAAAACCTGACAAGCCCTGTAGAATCCTATGACGCTGTGAGCCCTGTGAGCCCCGCCCTACACCCTCCAAACCCTAGAAGCCTTATGAACCAACCCTGCTAAGCCTTTAAACCAGGAAAAAGTCCTGGCCTTTAAAACATCCTACACCAACCCTGTAACCCCTTCAACCCCATAAGCCCCCTAAAACCCTGCAATGCCCTTTTGGAGTGGCGTAGCGATGGTTATATAGCCTTATTTCGTAAGCACCTCATGGCCACCTTAGAAAGCCGACAAGCCCGTGAATTCAGTGCCCCTAAACCCTAAACCCGAAATCCCGGAAAAAAGGAGGGTACTGGGCGACTGGTGCTGGCCATTGGCTCCCGCAACACTCTCTCTCGCTCTCTCTCTCTCTCTCTTCTCTCTCTCTCTTCTCTCTCTCTCTTCTCTCTCTCTCTCTCTCTCTTTTGCTTTTTTACTTCTCTCTGACTCTCTCTCTCTCTCTCGCGCTCTCTCTCGCTCTCTCGGTCTCTCTCGCCCTCTCTCTCTCTCTCTCTCTCCGCTTAGGGGTTTTGAGGGTTTCGGGCTTTAGGGCTCCAGGCCTTCCGAGTTGGTTTAGGGCTTAGGGTTTAGGGTTTAGGGTTTAGGGTTTAGGGTTTAGGGTTTAGGGTTTAGGGTTTAGGGTTTAGGGTGTCAGGATCTTGCAGTGCCCTCAGCCACCGTGAGCAGTTACAGCAGACTTGGCAGGACGCCCTGAACGAGATTGGGGTATACACCTACTTTCGGAACCAGCAGCGGCAATGCCCATATGTGCTGTCGATGCCCGGGACTCAGATGGACACACTGACTGAAGCAGTTAGGGGGGAGGCTTGCACTTGGGTCGTGAAGCCTTTCGTAGTCTTAGGCTTGAGTTTAGAATTTGAGGTTTTGGGGGTTTCTGTGGGTTTGGCGAGGGATATTGTGAGGGCTTTAAGGTGCCAACCTTTTAGACGTGCAGAGGCTTTCAAGGGCAGACCTAGCGAGAGCTATGATGCCCTGGAGCACTGTCAATCCTAGCGGTTAAGGCCGAAACCCTAAACCCTAAACCCCTGGGGGGGTTTCCTTGAATACAGCTTCATGACCTGAATGAAGTGGGAACCATAGGAGTGCGAACCCTAGAATCGCTACACATCCCGAAAATCTAGCATCCTTACCTGGGGCACCATTTGCCTACTATTTTGGGGTTTTGACCGTATATCAATGATAACCGATGAATGTGTAGGGTTTGGGAGTCACTAGACCCTAAACCCTAAACCCTAAACCCTAAACCCTAAACCCTAAACCCTAAACCCTAAACCCTAAACCCTAAACCTAAACCCTAAACCCTAAACCCTAAACCCTGAATCCAGGCAACCCCCAAACAAAACCGCCGTAAAGCTGCCCTTCCGGAACCCCTAAATCCACTACACCCCCTAAACCGCACCTTGGGAGCAGAGGCTTTCTAAGGGTTTAGGGTTTAGGGTTTAGGGTTCAGGGTTTAGGGTTTAGGGTTTAGCGTTTAGGGTTTAGGGTTTAGGGTTTAGGGTTGGAACCATGGGCCCTTAGTATGGTCCCTTACAATTCTTTATAGGAATCCGAAGCACGGGCCCTTACTATATAACCCTAAACCCTAAACCCTAAACCCTAAACCCTAAACCCTAAACCCTAAACCCTAAACCCTAAACCCTAAACCCTATGGTTTTTCTAGGCTTGGTGGCTTCCTGACCAACGTCAAGACGGATGATGGCGGGACGGAACAGAGGCATGGTCGGTGGCAAAGAGGGCGTGATTTCAGCGTTGAGGGGTTTGGGGGTTTAGGGGTTTAGGGTTTAGGGTTTAGGGTTTAGGGTTTAGGGTTTAGGCATGTGTTCTGCCCCCTGGCAGTGGGGTGTAAGGATTTTGCGGGCTTAGGTTAAGAACCCTCCACCGGGTTTGGAGGGCAACTCAGGGCTTCGTGATAAGCTTCCCCAAACCCCTGAACCCTTAACCCTTAACCCTAAACCCTAAACCCTAAACCCTAAATTCCTAATTCCTAAACCCTAAACCCTAAACCCTAAATCGTAAACCCTAAATTCCTAATTCCTAAACCCTGTGCGTGCAGGGTTTGGCTCGTTCTCCAAAACTGCGACGGCGGGGACCTGTTCGATAGCCGGGCTCCCATCATTCTGAAACGACTCTGGGGTCATACGAGCCCCCACACCGACCATGTCCAGTAGTACCACTAAACCCTAAACCCTAAACCCTAGGGTGTAGGGTGTGGGGTTTGGGGTTTAGGGTTGAGGGTTGAGGGTTGAGGGTTTAGGGTTACTCCCTGACATACTACAACTGAAAGTCTTAATGTGGTAGGGCGGGAAGGTCTCTAGTGTTGCCCAGTACCCTAGGATTCAAAAGGGTGCCCTTTCTTGCTTAAGAGGTTTTATCAGGGAACCTAAAGCCCCCCAAAAAAGGGGTTTAGGGTTTAGGGTTTAGGGTTTAGGGTTTAGTGTTTAAACCCTAAACCCTAAACCCTAAACCCTAAACCCTAAACCTTAAACCCTAAACCCTAAACCCTAAACCCTAAACCCTAAACCCTAAACCCTAAACCCTAAACCCTCAACCCTAAACCCTAAACCCTAAACCCTAAAACCCTAAACCCTAAACCCTAAACCCTAAACCCTAAACCCTAAACCCTAAACCCTAAACCCTACCCTCTTGGGGATGGAGTCGAGCGATCTGGCTGTGAGAATTGGGGTTTGGGCTTCAAGGTTTGGACCCCCAAATGGTCTGAGATTATGGGTTTAGGGTTTAGGGTTTAGGGTCTGGCCTTTTGGCCTTGCCATGGGGACCACATGAACCCTAAAAGAGTATAGGGCTCATATGAAGCAAGGTTTGTAGTGCTGTTATTGGTGAGTGTATATAAGGTTCCTTTTTAATATATGTGAGTGTCTACATGGGGTATCCTGTTGGGGAAACCCTAAACCCTACTTCTAATACCTTAGTAGTAGCTGGTTATAGTAGTGTAGGGTATATGGCCCCAAGTGGACACGACTTGGGGCCCGCCTGGGTGCTTTCACCAGCGCCCGTCGATGAGACGCCCTAAACCTTCAAACCCTCAAACCTAAACCCGAGACACTATCCCCAAACCCTAAACCCTAAACCCTATGAACCCTATACCCTATAAACCCTGAACCCTAATTACCCCCTAAACCTTGCCGGGTGAGGCATACAAGCGATGCGGGAGCAGGGAGGCGGCTTACTGCCCGAGGCTGATCTAAAGAGGTACGTGCGGAACCCAGGTGTCAGGGGTTTAAGTGTTTTAGGGTTTAGGGGTTTAGGGTTAAGGGTTAAGGGTTTAGGGTTTGGGGTTTGGGGTTTGGGGTTTAGGGTCTTAGGGCTTTAGGGCTTTAGGGCTTTAGGGCTTTAGGGTTTTGGGGTGCAGGGATTTAGGGTTTTAAGGGAGCAGGGCTTTCAAGAATTAGGGGTTTTAGGGCTTCAAGGGTTTTAGGGTTTTGTTTCGGGGGTTTGGGGATTCTACCCAGGTTTCAGCATTCCGGGGCGCTGCCAGAGAGTTTCCGTTCCATGGGGCCAAATGAACCCCACAGGGTTGATGGTCCATATTCCTTGTTAGAGTAGTATAGGGTATATGGCCCCAAGTTCAGGGTTTATTTGGTCTTCATGCTTTGGGGGATTAGGGGTTTTGGGGTTTCAAGGGTTAAAGGGTTTTTAGGGGTTAAGGGTTTCAAGCGTTTTCGAGTTAGAGGGTTTCAAGGGGTTTAGTTTTGGGGTTTTGGGGATGCTGGGTTTTTGGATTCGGGGTTCAGGGGTTTGGGCGTGTCGGGCTTGGGGTTGGGGGTTGAGGGGTTAAGGCCTCAGCATGCAGAGGCTCTCAGGGTTTGAAAACACAGGCCAGTGTCAATCCAAAGATGGTTTGGAGACCCCCCCCCCCCCCGCCCCCCATGAGCCTCCTTAGACGATTCGAGTCTACTTGCCCTAAACCCTAAACCCTAAACCCTTCGGTCAAGCCGAGGCAACCAATTCCCAGCGCGTGAATCTCTCCATTCCCCACAGTGGCGCCCGATAACTTGGCTCCAACGTTGCTATATGGGAACCCTAAACCCTAAACCCTAAACCCTAAACCCTAAACCCTAAACCCTAAACCCTAAACCCTAAACCCTAAACCCTAAACCCTAAACCCTAAACCCTAGCATTTTTCAAGGTCTGGCAGATCCTTCAAGCCGTGAAATACCTCCACGAGCACAACGTAGGCTGCGGAGGGCCAGGGGAGAATGCGGGGCTCCCTTGCGAGCCCCAATCCCCAAGGTTTCTGGTTTAGGTTTTGGGGTGGTTTAGGTTTAGGGTTGAGGGTTTAGGGTTGAGGGTTTGGGGTGTAGGGATGCCGCTAAGGAAAAGCCACAAACGAAAACCACTCGAACCCTAAAGCCCTGAACCCTGAAGCTAAGTCAAGGACAATGCAGCAAGCATTGGCGGACGAATCCACAAGGAACGAGTCGGAGTCGGTCATTCAGGAAACCCTAAACCCTAAACCCTAAACCCTAAACCCCAAAAAGCCTACACCCTAAACTGGAGGGCGGCACGCAGCAAGCTCTGGGCATGGGGGTCGCCCCAAGCAAATACAGCTGACCGCGCTGGGAGAGTTGAGCTTACTCCAGAGCACGGTTTAGGGTTTAGGGTTTAGGGTTTAGGGTTTAGGGTTTAGGGTTTAGGGTTTAGGGTTTAGGGTTTAGGGTAGTAGTAGAGTAGGTAACCTTTAACCTTTTTGCGTTAATATATTCCCCTTAAAATCCCAAAGATTAACCCTATGTACTGGACAACTAAGTTTCGGCCGCCGCCGGAAAGTTGGAGGAAACCACCGAACAACCCGGAAGCATGCAATGCCTACCTGGGTAGGCCCCTGGGATATTCTATATGTTCCCTTTATATTGTTTTTTCACAGGATCATAAGCATTTAGGAGTATTTTGCAGAGGGTTTTGTGGCTTGGGGGTTTAGGGGTTTAGGGGTTCAGGGGTTTAGGGGTTCAGGGGTTTAGGGGTTTAGGGGTTCAGGGGTTTAGGGGTGGCTGCCCAGCTCCTTTGCTGGGCCGTAGATCGTTTGGAGTCGGGGACTTGGCAGACACCCGAGCAAGCCCGCACCTAAGCCACCTGTGATAGGCCCGTCGCGAACTATGCCCTGCACACCCCCAATTCTAAACGCAAAAAGACCCTAACCTAAACCCCGAAACCAACCCCTAAACCCCTAAACTCCTAAACCCCTAAACCCCCAAACCCCTAAACCCCTAAACCCCTAAACTCCCAAACCCCTAAGCCCCTAAACCCCTAAACCCCTATTATGAACCCTTAAACCCCTAAACCCCTGCTTAAACCCCTAAATCCTAAGCCCAGAAACCCGACGCCCCCAACCCCTCAACCCTAAACCCCTAAACACCTAAACCCCTAAACCCTACACCCTAAACCCTCAAACCTAAACCTTGTTTATCATCCCGAAGCCAATTTGAAGCCTTTTCGAGCTTCAAGCGCCTCAGGCCACCGGGACATCTCCCTCGAGAACTTGCTGCTCAGGCGCTTCGAAGTCTCCTAGGACCCAGAGTAGGGTTTAGGGTGTAGGGTTTAGAGTTTAGAGGTTCGGGCTTAGGGTTTAGGGTTTAGGGTTTAGAGATTACGGCTAGGACCCAGAGTAGGCCCTTATTCCCCTTTTTGGAAGGCTTATGTTCCCTAATAAGCCCCCGTGAAAAAAGGGGCACCCTCTGGATTCGAAAGGTTACTCCTGGGTCTAGTCTCCCTCGGGACACAAGTCTCGGGGCTCTTCTAGGTTTGCTTTTGGGATACTTCATTTAGTCCTTATCTTTGTTTCTCAGCGGCCCTATCTACAAATCTTTTTCAAAACCCTAAACCCTAAACCCTAAACCCTAAACCCTAAACCCTAAACCCTGGAAACCTGCAGTTGTGCTTCGCTTTTTAGCTCTGGGACTTCGGATGCTTCTGGGTTTTTGGATTTGCGGCTTAGTTTGACTTCTTCAGTATCTAAGGGTAGTTATATGGGCCTTGAATGTCGTCCCCGACCTCCTGTAAAGCGTTCTAAGTATGGTCCCTTGGATTGTGTAGGACTGTGTAGGGTCTATAAGTTGTATGTAAAGGGGCCCCGTTTTAGGGGCCATGTAACTACCCCAAGATCGTAAGGGCTGCGGAGTCTGGGGGGGTTTTCAGTTAGTTGGCTGCGACTCCGCAAGCGTCCTCGCAGGCTTGGCCCTTCAAGCCCGCAAGCCCCAAACCCCGTCAAGAAACCTTGGGAAACCCGAGGCTAGGCCCTAAACACTAAAAACCCTAAACCCTAAACCCTGAACCCTGAACCCTAAACCCTGAACCCTCAACCCTGAACCCTGAACCCTGAACCCTGAACCCCGAACCCTGAACCCTGAACGCGAAGCAACAAGAAAAACTCCCCGCTGGAGTTGTTTTTTTTTGGGGAGGCCGGCCCCATGGCCCTAAACCCTGAACCCTAAACCCTGAACCCTAAACCCTAAACCCTAAACCCTAAACCCTAAATCCTAAACCCTAAACCCTAAACCCTAAACCCTCCTGAGGCAAGGCCGGGTCCAGCTCATGGACTTTGGTCAAGCCGTGCTGCTAGGGAGCTCGGTGGGTGCAGGGTTTCGGGTTTAGGGTTTCGGGTTTAGGGTTTCGGGTTTAGGGTTTAGGGTTTCGGGTTTAGGGTTTAGGGTTAAGGGTCTTAGCCTTCGGGTTTAGGGCTTAGGGCTTGGGATTTTCGACTTGGTTTTTGCTCTGGGTGGGGGGATGTAGGGAGCTTGGCGCTTGGGTTTGTTTATGTGGGCGTTGAGGGATGTTTTGGAGCCCAGTAACCAAGAGAAGTGTTCCTACATTTGTACCCCCTTGTATCTTGCGGCTCCTTGTATTCAGGAAACCCCGAATACGGTACCAGAATTTCAGTGACCTGACTACGTCACTCTAAACTCTGCAAACCCTATAACCCCTGCAAATCTTGTAAAGCCTATAAATCCCACAAAGCCCGAAAAAGCCCCGCCCTATCAACACCCCTGTAAGACCCTCTCTAAATCCTGGAAAGCCCTCTCTAGGCCCTACGTTTTATAAACATCTGTAAACTCGAAGTGTGAGGGGATGCCAGTTTTTTCGTTTTTGCGGGCGGAGACGTTTGTCTAGAACCTAAACCCAGACCCTAAACCCTAAGCCCCATGCAAGCCCTAAACCTACCAACCCCAAACGCAAAATCCACCAACCCTAAACCGCCCCTCGGCCCCTCAGCCCCTGGCCAACGCTCTCCTCTGCAACGCCCTAAACCCGCCCGAACCCAAAACCTACCAAGCAGGGATGTGGAGGATGCAAGGGGGTGTAAAGGCCCCATATTCCCAAATAAGCTCAATAAGGCCCTAATCTGGCCCCCTTGACCCCCCCCCCCCCCTCTCTTCCCTTCCCTTCCGCCCCCTTTGGAGCTTGTGAGGGTGGTAGCCAGGGCCTCCGGGCCAAATTATTCTGAATCTGAATGTTTAGGGTTTAGGGCTAGACCCTGCTCTGAGGCCCTCGAACCAGAAAACTCCAAACCCAAACCCCGAATCTTAACCATGCTAAGCCCTCGACAACTCAAGCTCAAAACCCTACCACACCCTGAAACCAAACTAAGCCTCCCAACCTTACAACCCTAAACCCTAAAGCCTAGACCCGAAACCCTAAACCCCAAACCCTAAACCCTATCTGAACCTCCAAAACCCTATACGAAAGACATCCTACCTCACCCGGGTCTTCGCTTCAGGTTGCGGGATGCCAATGGCCTGGACTTCCACTACTTCCGGCTTGTTGGCCCATGCCCCAAACAAGCAGAGGGGGCACCAGATCCTTGAGGAGATTGTAGGGTTTCGGGTTTAGGGTTTGGGTTTTAGGGTTTAGGGCTCCGAGTTGCTAACCTGCTGACGTCTTTCGTAGCCATCCTCTGAACATTACAGCCGGCGCATAGACTTCATACCACAGCAGCGATCACTGCCTGGGCTTCAGCTGGGCTTTCTGCAAGTTTAGGGTTTTGGGTTCAGGGTTCAGGGTTCAGGGTTTAGGGTTCCTGGGGCTCAGGGCGGACGCCGGAATTGCCATTCCTTGCACACTATAGAAGAAGCCCGACGCCCTCCCCCCTCCTAACTTTGATTAGGGCACCCCTCAACTCTAAACCCTAAACCCTAACCCCAAAATCCTAAACCCTAAGCTCTAGACCCTAAACGGGTTTAGGGGTCTGTTCTGGGTTCCTCGGGTTACCCCAAAAACGGCAGCGATGTCGGGCCCGAGGCAAAGAGTACTACCGCGCACCGGAAGTCTACGTGCCCTCGAACGAGACCTGCCCCAACCTCCGGGTGCAGGCGGCAATGGAGAGTTTAGGGTTTGGGGTTCAGGGTTTAGGGATTTAGGGTTTAGGGTTCAGGGTTTGCACCCTCGTTGGCTTGTGTGCTGCAGATGGGATGTTTTGGGTTCAGGGCTTAGGGGTTTAGGGTTCCAGACTCAGGGTTCAGGGTTTAAGCTTTAGGGTTTAGGGTTTGGGGTTAGCTTGAGGTTTGAAGTTTGAGGCTCAGCGTGTGTGCATGCGGGGCTTTAGGCTGAAGCTATTCTTTGCTGGCGGTCAAGCACAGGTCGCCAATCCCGAAGCCCCAAAGCCTCAAAGCCCAGCCCCCAACGCGAGTCTAAACACCTCCCCAAAAACCCCCAAACCCCCTAAACCCTAACCCCCCAAACCCTGAACTCCGAACTCTGTCTGTGTGTGTGTGTGCGCATCACTCGTCACTAGGCGCCAGTCCCCGCGACTTGGACCCCTGGGCGCGAGGTTCCGTGTGGGGGTGGAGGGGCGGAGAGTTCAGGCTTGGGGTTAAGGGGCGTTCCCAAATTGTTTTTGGGAAAATGCCCATATAGAGCTTGCCGGGTTGAAAGCGTTTAGGGCTGTTCTTATTGCAAGTCCTTGTCATCCGTTTCATGTCGTGTACATAATTCTAGGTACTGTAGGCCCCTGACGTGCTTGATGCTCCCCTTGTTCGGTTGAAGAGGATCGTATTTCGGGAGTTTACCAAAGATTCTTTTTGGGCCAATCTAGAAAGGTGGGCATCACCTTGGTCTGTGGGCATTGTTGTGTTTTTGTAGTGTACATTTGTTTTTAGCTTCGGACCGGCAAGCCAGCCAGCGAGCCAGCCAGCAAGCCAGCAAGCAAGCAAACACGGAACAACCCCAAACGGCCCTTAACCCTAACCTCGAAACTCTAAACCCCTTAAACCTTTAAACCCTAACACACTCTCAAGTCCCCCCCGTACCCCCAAAGCCTCAATAAACACCCCGAAGACCCGAACGCTACAAGAGCTTACCCTAAACTCCGAGAACCCTACACCCTAAAACCCCAACCCCAACCCCAAACCCTAAACCCCTCAACCCCTAAACCCCTCAACCCTACACCCTAACCCCTAAACCCCTGAACCCTAAACCCTAAACAACCTGAAGCCCTGGAGAAGCCGTCGAAGTCCGCAGGTCCAGGTCATGGGTGGCGGCTACTTGTCGGAAACTCAGATCTCGCCTGCCCTCAGACTTTGGGCCTGAGTCTAGTTGACGGGCCTCTAGGGTTTCGGGTTTAGGGTTTAGTTGCAAGCTCCAGCCTGAACGAACCCTAGAAGCCCTAAAGCCCTCAACCCTCACCATCACCCCCTGCCTGAACCCCCGAACCCCCGACCCGAACCCCCGAACCCTATGAACCCTAAACCCGAAACCCTAGACCCTCAACCCTAAACCCTAAACCCTAAACCATAAACCCTAAACCCTAAACCCTAAACCTTTCAATCAATCACCTCCCCCCATACATCCGAAGGTGCCTCCTGCGATTTCCGGACACCGCGACACCGGGCCTGGCATCCGCTGCTCGGTGCGGTTTAGGGTTTAGGGTTTAGGGTTATAAGGTTTAGGGTTTAGGGTTTAGGGTTTGGGGTTTGGGGTTTGGGGTTTTGGGTTTTTGGGGTTTGGGGCTTGGGGCTTGGGGCTTGGGGTTTGGGGTTTAGGAAGGTCTATTTCGGGTTTACCTGGGACTCTGTTTACCTACAGTTTAGTAGCAACTACCCTCAAGTAGTAGGTATGCCCCATAAAACTGTAGGTAGAGAGGGTCCCAGGTGGGGCTGAATTTTTGAGTTTAGGCCCTACACCCTAAACCCTAAACCCTAAACCCTAAACCCTAAACCCTAAACCCTAAGCCCAATTAGTTAAGGTAAAGTAGGTTATGACCCATAACAATGCAGGCAAGGAGGGTCCCAGGCAGGGCTTACTTAGAGTTTCGGGTCTCCTTTTGTGAGGGTTTAGGGTTTAGGGTTTGGGGTTTAGGGTTTAGGGTTTTTTGTTTAAGGTTTAGGGTTTAGGGTTTAGGGTTTAGGGTTTAGGGTTTAGGGGCAAGTGTGTGTTTCAGCCGGCATGTTTTGAGCGTTTTTGCGAAGCTGCAAGGCAACAAACAGGCTCGCAATGCCCTGAAACCGAATAACCCCCTTCCAAGAAAAGAAAACATCTTCCTGATAAAGGGTAATATAAGGCTGATTGTCTTGTCCTTCTCTGGTGCTCTAATGCAAATAGTAGAATAGCTGAAGCTTGGGATGTTCCCCCTTATGCTCACAGTCCTTAATAGGGATTATGGTACCCCGCCCCCCTATTATATTCGCGATTATGGACTCATGTATAAGGGTGAACACCCCAAGCTGAAACGTAATTTTCTGAGCCCTCTGTAGCCATCAAAGACACCGAAACTACAGAAAAGACACCGCAGGGTCCCAGAACGCCCGGGTAGAAGCAGTGTAGGGTTTGGGGTTTAGGGTCTAGGGCTTAGGATTGTTTGGGGCTTAGGGTTTAGGATTTAGGGTTCGGGTTTAGGGAGAAGAGGCCCCAGCAAAAAACCCAAGTTAGCGTCCAAGACTTGCGCCCAAGGCTCTCCCCCAACACTCCGGACACGAAGCCTACAGAATTTCCATGAGCCCTAAACCCGAAACCCAGAAGGGATTTGGGGGTTGGGGGGCTCAAGGGCCGAAATTACAGTCCCGGAGCCCTAAGCCCCAAACCCTAAACCCTTAACCCTAAACCTTAAACCCTAAACCCTGAACCCGAAACCCTAAACCCTAAACCCTAAACCCCAATACCCAGGTTGCCACTCTGTCTGGCTACACGGTCGCACCCGTCGATGCTTGGGCCCTGGCCCTTCCAGGGCAGCGTAGGGCAGTGTAGGGTTTAGGGTTTAGGGTGTAGGGTTTAGGGTTTAGGGTTTAGGGTTCAGGGTTCAGGGATTAGGGTTTAGGGTTTAGGGGGTCCAGGGTTTAGGGTTCAGGTTCTGGGGTGTTTTGGGTTTCGAGCTTAGGGTGTTCAGTGTTCAGGGTTTTGCATGGTGTTGAAATTTGAGGCTGTCGGGCTCGAAGACACTTGTTGCGAGTTTTGGTTCCTCAAGGCCTACGGCTTAGAGTTGCCTGAAGCTCCACGTTGCTCAAAAACTGAAATTCTGAACCCTCAGCCCTCCTACCCTAAACCCTAAACCCTAAGCCCTACAGCCAGATTCCTCATTTTCGTGTCTTTGCAGCCACTTGCTCTAAACCCGAAACCCTGTACCTTGCTGGGGGGGGGGTGCTCTCGAAGCCCTGTGTTCAATGGGAGGCTGAAGGCCTTCAACCCCAAATTTTGTGCAGAGAGTAGTTTTTTTTTGGATTTCGGGTTTAGGGTTTTGGGTTTGGAAAAGAACAAGAAGAAGAATCACAAAAAGAAGAAGAAGAAGCAGAAGAAGAAGAAGAATAAGAAGAAGAATAAGAAGAAGAAGAAGAAGCAAAAGCACGAGCTTGAACAAGAGGTGTTCGCATGTGGCGTCGCCATGTTCATCCTCCACGCGCAGGCCGCCCAACCTGCACGAAGTGAGTTCCATCTCCCACTGTAGATAGGGTTTAGGGTTTTGGCACATACTGCTACCATTACCCTAAACCCTAAACCCCAAAGCCCTTGTTCTTTTTGCAGGGCCCGGGTTCCGTTCTCCACCCCGTGAAGTAAAGAAATAAGAAACCTGGCATCCTCTTCTTCTTGAAGGCTGCAGGGGTAGGAAGGTTATTATGAGGCTTTAGAAGAGCCGTCGCTGAAGTGGAATGTCATGGCCCTGCTCCAAGCTTGAACCTGAAGTGAACCTTGAACGCTGTGCCGTGGGCGCTCGCACGCGCGCACGTGCTCATCGGGTCTTGAGCACTAGCCGTCAAGACTTGGGTAGGCTTTAAATGTAGCCAGCCTTGTCTTCTGCTACACCCCTGAAGCCCTAAACCCGAAACCCCTAAACCCGAAACCCCCAAACCCCCAAACCCCCGAACCCCCGAAACCCCCAAACCCCCAAGCCCCCCAAACCCCCCAAAACCCTGAACCCTGAGCCTCACGCCAGGTGCAGCCTTGGAAACAAGCCCTGCTGGCCAATCAGAACTTCAGGCACCGCTAGGAGGTTAAGTAGGGTTTAGGGTTCAGGGTTCAGGGTTCAGGGTTCAGGGTTTAGGGTTTAGGGTTTAGGGTTTAGGGTTTAGGGTTTAGGGTTTAGGGTTTAGGGTTTAGGGTTTAGGGTTTAGGGCTTGCATGGGAAGGGTGTGGGGTTTAAGGTTTAGGCCCTTGGGGTAAAGGGCAAAGAAGCTGCCCTAGTACAAAAGTAACAAAAGTAGGTGAGTAAAGCTCAGATTCTACGGCTTGTCAGCTAGCACCCTAATTAAACCCTAAACCCCGTGCACCATATACAAACCCTATAAACCCTGTAAACCCTGTAAACCCGACAAACCCGACAAACCCAACCCGATAAACCCTAACCCTGGCCACCTCGCCTCCTCTTCTGGCTCTTCGAAAGGCCCCAAACTGGCCCAACCCCCCCACCCAAAACCGCCCAGTTATTCAGTGAGGGAGCGTAAGTACCCACGGTGTAGGGTTTAGGGTGAGGAGCAAGGATAAGTCAAGTACGGAGTCCAGCACCATCGTAAACAACAGAATTGGGGGAGGGGGGCGGGGGGTTTAGGCTTCCTGGGTTTTGGCGAAGTTTTACATATTTATAGTTAGGGTGTGGCGGGGGTCGGGGTGGGGGTGGGAGGGGCAGCGCGCGGGTGGCGTCGGGTGCAGGTAGACGCTTAGATTTGACGGGGTTGGGGTGTTTCGCGTGCGTTTGCATCTTCCGACGCGGCTTTCCATGGTGCTCTTGGGAGGACTCCACCTTAAACCCTAAACCCTGAACTCGGGGAGCCTAAAAATATGCGAACAAACCCTAAAACCCTAAACCCTTTTGGCCTCTTGTGACTCCGACAGCTTTCCCCACTTCGCGTTCAGGTGGGTGTACGACAACGGCATCAAGGCGCTCAGAAGCTATGGGGATCCTTAAGGTTATTGGGACATAGACCCCATACTACTGTAATCCCTATTAAGGTACATGAGCCATAAACCCTCTTAGGGCTCATGTGACCCCCAAGGAAGCAGGCGTTGAAAGTTGATTGGTTGGCATAAGGTTTCGGGTGTAGGGTTTTGGGCATAGCTCCAGAATTTGAGGTTGAGTAGCCAGTAGTCGTGTTTGCAACTTGTGTGTGTGTGTGTGTGTGTGTGTGTGTGTGTGTGTGTGTGTGTGGGTGGGTGTGGGTGGGTGCGTGTGCGTGTGCGTGCGTGCGTGCGTGCGTGCGTGCGTGCGTGCGTGCGTGCGTGCGTGCGTGCGTGCGTGCGTGCGTGCGTGCGTGCGTGCGTGCGTGCGTGCGTGCGTGCGTGCGTGCGTGCGTGCGTGCGTGCGTGCGTGCGTGCGTGCGTGCGTGCGTGTGTGTGTGTGTGTGTGTGTGTGTGTGTGTGTGTGTGTGTGTGTGTGTGTGTGTGTGTGTGTGTGTGTGTGTGTGTGTTTTTAAGTTCGGGTCCTCCAAAATGCTAAACAACACCTTCCTTCTAAACCCCTATGTCAGAAAACCTTACCCTAAAAACCCGAAAAAACTCTATGTCCCAAACCTGGAAACCCCGTAAGACCCCGAAACCCGAATGCCGATGCCCGGCCACCCCGAAACGGCACAGGGCTCACCCCCAAAAGCCCTCCATCCCTGTTCTGATAAGGTTTAGGGTGTGTTTAGGGTTTCGGGTTTAGGGTTCAGGGTTCCGGGTTTAGGGTTTAGGGTTCCAGCTTGAAGGTTGGCATTGGGGTCCCTGAAGCTGGCAAAGCGCCTCAGCAGAAGGCGGAAGAGCCTCCTCCGCCTTGAAAGCACTCCGGCCAAGCCCATGCGCCGTTTAGGGTTTAGGGTTTCGGGTTTAGGGTTTAGGGTTTAGGGTGACTCTTAGTAGGTTATGACCGCCGAAAAATCTAGGGCATATGGCGCCTCAAAATAGTAGGTAAATGCAGGCCAGGTAAGCCCGAAATCCTGAACAAGCCCTGAAGAGAGAGAAGCCACCTTTCCCAGGCGCTGCTAGAAAACTGGAGAAAGCCGCTGCAGAGCCAACACGCGCGCGGGCCTAAGAGTCTGAGTGTGTTCCTTTGGGTTCAACTTGCGTAGGGTGTGGGGGGTTGAGGGTTTGTTGTGTAGGGGCCGCTGAGGGATTCCAAAGCCAAAGCGGCCGGCTAGGCAGACAACCATGATTCGTATCATTGACCTTACCAGACGTGTCGGTACCGGTATCTAAGCCAATGTAGACCTTAGCAACGCTGAACCCTAAGCCCTAAACTTTAAACCCTTCTGTGGAGGCCTTGGGTTTAGGGGCGATGCTTGATGATGGAAGAGCTTCCAATAAGACTGAATGCCACATGCAACGCTAAACCCTAAACCTTAAACCCTAAACCCTAAACCCTAAACCCTAAACCCTAAACCCTAAACCCTAAACCCTAAACTCACATCAGGTCAGAGCTCCTTACGGGCATGATGCGCTGCCCTGAGTACCAGGGCGGGTTTGGGAGCTATTTACTACTGTTAGCTTGAGAGCCACCAATCTTCCTACCTCAATATCGGGATTCTTGTCTTTTCATTTGTTGTTGAGGGGGGTTCTTGAGCAAATGCCTTGGGGACAAAATTAACCCTGAAATGGGGGGTCATATACCCTATACTACTATAGTTCCTATTAAGATATATGGGCCTTTCAGGGTTCATTTAGTCCCCGGTAGTAGTTTAGGTTTACAGATTGAGGGCTCTAAGTTTTCAAAAAGGGCTGGCGGGCCTTGGCATTCCACGGGTTGAGGCTGCTCGGGTTCAAGGCTTCTGGGCTTTCGGCCTGGTGGGGCATTTGGTATCCTAAACCCGAAACCCTAAACCCTAAACCCTAAACCCTAAGCCCTAAACCCTAAACCCTAGAAAATCCCCAAAGGTTGCGAGTTTAAGGTTCTTAGGGTGCTTGGGCTCTTGTAGGTCTAAGGTTAAGCCTGGTCCCTTACCTTCTATTTTCAAGGGTTCTGCAGGTCGGGCCCTTGGGTTTTTAAAGGGTATAGAAGGTGCTAGACGAGATGGGCCCCCATTAGCAGGGCCATATGATGGGACCATGAAACTACCCTTAGAGATTGCTTGAAGGATCATTTGTCAATCAAGGGACTACAGGAGGGACACTTTAATTGACCTTAGGGTTTACATATTTGGGTGCTACTACTTATATATATATATATGTCTTATACAGGGGAAACCCTAAACCCTAAACCCTAAACCCTTCTAGGAGTCCCTCCTTTGCCCGCTGAAGTCAAGGAACGTCTATTCGGCTCACCGCTGGACTGTCCATGAGTGCTTGGCCGCCGGCTCGCCATTTAGGGTTGAGGTTCTAGGGTTCAGGGTTTAAGGTCGTGAGGCAACTGTTGTGAGGGGGGATGGGTCGCAGAGGTTCGGGGTTTTTAGGGAACAGCTCTCAGAAAATCGGAGTTACCCCGTACCCCCCTACCCCGTTTTAAGGGCTGAAGTAGGGGGTTTAGGGCCGAGTCTTCTCAAAGGTGCCCGATCCAGCTCCGAAAATCTTACTAAATCCTTCCGAAAGTCGAGGCCAAACTCCGCACATCTTCTTTCCTCTCCCTGGACCCTCAACGCCTCAACCCCTGAACCTCCTCAACCCCATGGTCCCTGCAAGCCCTAATCCCTGAATCCTAAACCCCTGATCCCCTCAAGACCCCACTGCCCCCGTCAGAACCCCCAGGTGCACCCTAAATCAGCTGCTTCAAACCCCAAGTCCGAGCCCCTGAGGAAAGAGCATAGATACCCAGGGAACACGAAGTGGCACTTCTCTAAACCCTAAACACTAAACCCTAAACCCCAAACCCTAAACCCCAAACCCTCAACCCTAAACCCTCAACCCTAAACCCCGCAATGCCAGGGTGATAAGGCGGCCCCGAATGCTTAGAGTACCCGGGGGTACCCTGAAGGAGCCGTCATCTTCAGAACTCACCCAAGTAGTAGTTCATGTGGAAATCGTAGCTGTGCGCTTACCCTAAACCCTAAACCCTAATCCCTAAACTACACCCTTAACCCTCTAAACCCTAGACCCTAAACCCTACACCCTGCACCCTAAACCCTACACCCTAAACCCTAAACTAAAAAACCTTAAGCCCTACACCCGAAACCCTAAACCATATAAACCCTAAACCCTACACCCTAAATCCTAAACCCTAAACCCTAAACCTCTACCCCGAAGACCGCACCCGAGGCCAGCCCTTGGTTCGCTGACGTCGAGCAGGCTGGTATTGCTTCTTTGGGGGGTTTCGGGTAAAGGGTTTAGGGTTTAGGGTTTAGGGTTCAGGGTTCAGGGTTTAGGGTTTAGGGTTTATGTGGTTTAGGGTTTAGGGTGTATATGGTTTAGGGTTTATATGGTTTAGGGTGGCATAGGAGGAGGTCGGGGTTAGGGGAAGAGCGGCTGGGGCATAGTCATTAAGAGTCGTGTTTTTTTTTTTTTTTTTTGTGGGGGGGGGGGGGTGGGGGGGCGTGGGGAGGTCTTGGACATCGTCCAGCCCTCCCTATCGAGGTATCACACGCCGTCCTTAGCTCACGCTTGCACAGCTTCTTGCACACACGCACGCACTCCGCCTCTCTCTCTCTCTCTCTCTCTTATTGTTTTGTCTCCAATCCCTCGCCCTTTGCCTCTCCCTCTCCCTTTCCCTCTCCCTCTGATTCTTCCTCTCTCCCTCTCACTCTCCCACTCTCTCCCCATCTTTTTCCCGTCTCCCGCTAAGGCCCTAAACTTTGAAACTCTGAACCGAAACTGTTCGTAAGCTCAAGCAAATTTCAATCCTACTTTCCACCCCTGCATCCGGAACCCTGAAACGTATCCCCAAATACTTAAAGCCCAAGAACAAGAACATGAAGAACCAAAAGCCAAGGAAGACCTCAACGCCCTAAACCCGAGCTTGGTGTATCTCCCGATACTCACTGAGCCCACCTAACCCGAGAACCGAACACCCAAAATGCCCTTGAGGCCTTCAAACCGCTAAGGCTAAGAACCCGACCCCCCACTAAAGACCTCCAACGCCATAGCACCGCTTAAGCCCCCCTAAAAACCATATAAGGCCACTGCAACACTGATGAAGAGCCCCAAGAGCCAGCCAGACAAAATCCCGAAAACAAAAAAAGCCTACAGAACCGAAAGCACCCATCACGGAGGCCGATGCTCCACGCACACCTGGCCTGGGCCCGGGCGCAGGGGGGTTTGGAGGGATGCTCCCCCCCCCCCCCACTCCCAAACCCCCCCCAGACCCCTCCCGCGGTTGAGGGTTTAGGGTTTTTAGGGTTTGCGGGTTTAGGGTTTAGGGTAAATTCGGGATAATAGTCTAGCAATAACAATTCATTTTCATGATGTTATAAGTCATGCTATAAGGACTTACACACAGGAAGGGGGGGGAGGGGGGGTTTGATTGGTTGGTTTTTGGTGCTGTTCTGGGTCTCGATCGGTCAAAAGCATGTTGCTCATAACACATTTACAGTGCGGGTATCAGGAAGGGCCCAACATGTCGATCAAACCTGACGAAGAGGACCTCGACCATTCAACCCTCAACCCTTTTTAGGGTTTGGGGTTTAGGGTTTCACCCTAAACCCTAAACCCTAAAACGCCCAAACGGAACCCATTTGTCCACACCCAAGGACGATCCCATCGGCTCGCAGCTTCAAGCCCTTAACCGATGAGCCCTGAGCCCTCGATATACAACACCAAGCCCTACTAAGCCCCAAGCCCTACGGTAACCTCTAAACCCGAACCATGAAACCTTACAAACCCCAAGTCCACAACCTTATAAACCTTTTCTTGAAAATAATGTTCACAGAATCACATAACAATTTGTTTAAGACGTAATATTTTTTGTTCTTTGCCACCCCCTGGACCTCCGACAGCGCCATGGATGCGGCCATGCGCGTAGCATGCCCTGGACGGATGGGTCCTGGTCGGGGAGCTGGTGGAACCTTGGACCTGCCTTGTAGGGGGGGTTTTAAGGTTTATAGGGCTTGGGGTTTTAGGGTTGATAGGGTTTGAGGGCTTTAGGGTTTTTTTCGGGGTTTTGGGGGGGTTTGGGGGGTTTAGGGATTTGTGGGTTTTAGTGACTTTGGAGTTTGGGGTTTTGGTGCTTTAGGGTCCCCCTGACCCTGCCCCCCCCAAGTGAAGAACTGCAACCTTAACCACCGAAGTTGCCCGAAGCCCTCCGCTAACAAGGGTTTAGGGTTTAGGGTTAGGGTTTATAAAGTTTAGGGTTTAGGGTGCCTGAGCCTTCTCCAAAGACTCTTTCGGGTGAGTGGGGGCGGGGGCCTTGGACCACATATTCTTGCGATGCTGTCCTTGCGGCATGCTCGCCATCTTCAGTGATGTATACAGCCAAGTCGAGGGTTTTGATATCCAAGACTGAACATGCATTCATTTGGGCGGCACTGATTGCCACTGTTCTCAAGCGAGGTCTTGTGCTGAGCAAGGTGTAGTAGTGATCACTTCTTATTTTTGCTCCAGCCATGGGCGGGTTTTCTGCTCGCTTGAGTTCTGCTTGTTCTGCTGGGTTGGATTTTTGTACAGGGCATTACAACGGTGATTCTGCGCCTTCTTCTTTTCATTGAAGCTGTCATCGGCTTGCTGCATACCGAATGTTGCCGCTGAGTCACTTCTCGATTGGATAAGGCTTCGAGCTGGCCGCGAGGGTGTTTTTGGCTGTGAATTTTCCTTTTGCAGCGAGCAGGCTCTTTGTCTCAAGATCAGCAGCGGGCAGTTTTAACTTTCGGGGTTCGAATTCGTTGTACAGGCGGCTGGTTTGCACTCTGGCCATTGTGAGCGGGGTCCTTTGACATTGCTCCTATTTAGGAAGCGCTGGTGCTCATCTGGAGGCAGGATGGGCGGCTATCACGATGGCTGTGGGTTCTGCAGGCTGTGCCCCCTGCAGGGCACTTGAGTGTCAGCACTGTTTGGCCGGAGTTCTTTCTCCACAAACCAGTGCCCTCTTCGAATTTGCGGTCGTCTTTGCCACATGACCGCGTTGGTGCACGCGAAGCAAGCTTGGGACCGGCAGGATAGATTCACATTATGCCTCTGCATAACAACGGCCTTTTTGCGAACGCCAGTGCTGGAGAGGTGGGCTGCTATGCTTGCGCGGGAGTCAGAAAATTGTACATTCACCTGACTTCTTGTGGCCACCAAGCTTGAGGAAGCTGGTGCCTACTCCTTTTGCATGAGCATCTCTACCATGAAACCGGCCGCAGGCAGATTAAACAGTGGCAGCCGTCAACATGATGTGACGTTGCATGTCTCTTCCTGTCCGTCTGCCTTAGGCATCTTAAGAGAAGCCCGAGAAAGCTTACAGCAAGAATGAGGGTTTCGGGGTTTGTGGCGTCTTGGGTTTCGACTCGTTTGTTGTGCTTTTGTTTGGGGGTTTTCGGCGCTTTAGGGTTGAAGGTGGGATGTTCCCCCTTATTCTAACAGTCCTTAACAGGGATTATAGCACCCCTTATCATCATCCCTATGAAGGAGCTGTTAGTATAAGGGGGAACATCCCAAGCTTAAGGGGGGCTTAAGGGCTCACAGACGGTTATTTTTGGGGGAGGTCTTCACGATGAAACTGCTAGATCCTAAACCCCCAAACCCCCAAACCCCTAAACCCCTAAACCCCTAGACCCCTAAACCCCTAAACCCCTAATCCCCTAATCCCCTAAACCCCTAAACCCCTAAACCCCTAACCCCTAAACCCCTAAACCCCTAACCCTCATTAACCCTTAACCCGGAACCCTTAACCCTTAACCCTAAACCCTAAACCCTAAACTGAGACCCGAGGCGTTGGAGTTGGGATCAGGGCTGGCGCTCCGATGGCTCCTGGAGAGCATGGCAATGGCAGGCTTGAAGCCGTTTTCCGGGGGTTTGGGCGGTTTAGTGTTTAGGGTTTAGGGTTTAGGGTTTACGGTTTATGGCATTCGGGTTTAGGGTTTAGGGCATTAGGGGTGGGGACTTCTCGAGGGTATTAGCTCAGGAGATGGTTCAGGGTTGCGGGCTTCGTGGCCTAATTTTTCCGCCCTCTGGAACACGCCTTCAAAACCCCAAGACGCCCTCCTCCACTCCTCCAGCAGGACGCAAGCTGGGATGCAAGCTGGGACGCAAGCTGGGGTGCAAGCTGGGGCCAGTGGTCCTGGAGTCACCGCGACCCGACCTGGAGTGCTGGTTCATGGCGGAATGGAGGCGTGGGTTCACTGCTCCCCGAATCCCCTTGCACTCTGCACCCATTGAAAGACTAAACCCTACCAAGACAGAAAGCCCTCAAACCAAAGCCCAAAACCCCAAACCCTACACCCTAATGAACCTAAACCCTCAACCCTACCAACCCTACCGAAAGCCCTCGAACCTAAACACCCTCAACTCTAAGCCTGTACTGTAAGAACCACACGATCTTGGGTTTGAGACTTCTGCCTGCGAATATAGGGAATCTAAGAAGGTAGGGATTTCAAGGAGTCTTGGGTTGATGAATTCAGGGAACTTAGGGAATGCAGGGAATCTTTAGGGAGTTCAAGGAATTTCGGGAGGAAGCTCGAAGTCTTAACCTCTAGAGATGCCTAACGCCCTGCCTTGCAGCTCGCCCTAAACCCTAAACCCTAAACCCGAAACCCTAAACCCCAAACCCCAAACCCCAAACCCCAAACCCCAAACCCTAAACCCTAAACCCTAAAGTGTTGGAAGCCCTGGACTCCAGGCCCTTGAAAGCCCCAACGAACCTTAAGCCCTGTGAGCCCTAAGTCAGCCCCAATCCGGGTGTAGGGTTATTGGTTTGGGGTTTGGGGTTTAGGGTTTAGGGTTTAGGGTTTAGGGTTTAGCGTTTAGGCTTTCCCTGCAAACAGCTGATCTCTCAGGCCAGGGCCCAGCCACGCTTGGGGACGATGAGGCACGGTCGGGTGATCAGGCGATTGATGGGGGTTTCCTAATTCTTCTCCATATGAAAATGGGTTTAGGGTTTAGGTGGGGTTTAGGGTTTGGGGTTGCCGAAATTAGGGGTTCCCTATATGGGGTCCTTGTAGCAAGGGAATTCTACTATTTGGGGGTCATTTTCTGGGGTTCCCCAATTTTTCGGAAACCCCAAAATGGTCACTTCTCTATAGGATGGTTCCTTTTTGGGATCCTTACTACAAGGGCGGCACCTTTGAGTTAGGGCGCCCCACAAAAGACCAAAGTTTCGGGAACTGACCGTATGAAGCCTGAACCCTAAATCTTGCAAGCCCGAAGCCCTAAACCCTAAACCTTAAACCCTGAACTTAACAGCCCTAAACCCTAAACCCCTTCAGAAAACCCCAAATAAACACCCAAAAAAAACCCTAAACCCTAAACCTTAAACCCTGAACTAAACAACAACCTCCTAGCCCTAAACCCTAAACCCCTTTCATAAAACCCCAAAATAGCCCCTAGCCCTAAACCCTAAACCCCTTCATCAAACCCCCAAAATAAAAAACCCAAAAAAAAGCTGGAAGGAGAGGCTTCGGCCCACCGACGACCTCGACTTGCTTCCCGTGCCCCACGCCGAAGGCGTGGCGGAAGCCGCTGGACCGGCGATGTGGAGCCAACAGGGAGGCTGGGGGTTCTTTAGGGTTTAGGGGTTTGGGGGTAGGGTTTAGGGTTTAGGGTTTGGGGCTTAGGGTTTAGGGTTTAGGGTTTGGGGTTTAGGGTTTGGGGTTTGGGGCTTGGGGTTTAGGGCTAGGGGTGTTAGAGTTGAGGGTTTAGGGTTCAGGGGCTGTAGGAAGGCTTTAGGGGTTTGGATTTGTTTTTTTGTTGTGTTTGCTCTTCGGGCTCTTAGGGTCTCAAGCCAACCTCCCCCAAATTTGAACCCAACATGAACATTGAAGAAGGGTTTTTACTACATGGCCATTTAGCAAAAAGATGTTTTTCGGGGCAGGGAAGCCGAAGTACAGATGTGACCACATACATGTATGCATATACATATGTACATATATATATATATATCTGTACATATATATATATAAGGAGCTTGAAAAGAAACCCTACTATGTAACCCCTTATAGCTCAGAGCTTAAGGGACTGGAGGGCTCTTAGTTCAGGGTTTCAGGCTTTCAGGGTTTCAGGGTTTGAGGGTTTAGAGTTTAGCGTTTACGGTCCTTACCGTTGCAGGGTTTTGCGTTCTGAGGAGATTTTGGAGTCGCCCAAGTTGTTGACTTTCTGCTGCA